AAATTGTTTTATACTGCTGGTTTGCTGTGATATCGCAAAACGAAAAATTTGATCATACAATTAAATGCAAAAGAGACCTTGTGTTTAGGTAATTGTATATTTTCTCTCTTGAAAAATATGACGTTGGCGAAATTTGCGTCCGATTTTCTATACTCTCGAACATGGTTTTCGTTTACAAAGAAATACGAATCAGCTGTATTATTGTTAGAATTTTCAGCAAACGCCATTTCATGTAGTTTGAAATTTGCCGTATAAAAACCTCTCTTAACTGCCTCGAATGCCAAGTTCTTTAAATACTACGCAATCAAAATCTTCTTCAATATGGATCTAAGCACGTATCTACAGTGTTCCGTCATTTCCTGTGCTCTTATTAATGACATATATTATTATACATATATATATATATATATATATATATATGTTCCTCGCATTGTGAGAAAAGAGAGCCACCAAACCTGGAATTCAAGATTAGAGTAAATACATGGAATTACATTTCTTAATTAACTCTACTCTTCTTCCTCAGCGGAACATGGTGCGTGAAGATGGCCCATCAGCAGTCGTTTAGAGCCGAGATGTGCAGCAAGTTAGGAACTGTCTACTCCATATAAAATATTAGAATATAACCTTGATTAAAGGTAAAGATAAATTAAAACATACCTTGATTATACTTTAAGATAAATTAAAATATACTTTGATTCTATTTTACAATAAATAAAATATATACTTATTATACTTTAAAATACAGTGAAATATAACTTTGATTATACATTAAGATATAACTTTGATTATATCTTAAAAAACACTGAAATATGACCTTGATTTATACACCAAGATAAACTCACATATAACAATGCCACCTAGATGGGAAAGTGGTTAATGACTCTGTCTGTACCGAAGGGACCGGGTTCGAATCCCGTTGAAGGAATGGATGTAAATTGCTTGTCCTTTGACAGGAGGTAACGGTGGCCCACCTGTTAGGTGCCTCCATAATAAAGTGACAACCGCTTTCGGTCTTAGATGTAGCCCACGCCTAGTAGCACGTGGCTAGTGCCCATCATTGTCAAAAATAAAATAAAATTTAAAAAAAATCTCAAACTGAAATATAATATTGATCATTTCTTCAGATAAATCAAAATATAACCCTGATTATATCTTACTACAAACTGAAATATTATCTTGTTTATATCTTTAAAAAAATTAAAATTTAATCTTGTTTACACCTAAAAATAAATTATATAGCCTTGATTATACCTTTTAATAAACTGAAATATAACCTTTATTTATACATTAAATTAAAATACAGCCTCGATTATTTTTACTTAGTACAGTTTTCATATGGCATAGCCGCCGACCTTGAAATATTAGAAATCAGGTGGTTCTCGCGCGAAACGGAGATTTTATAGACGGTTTCTACGCTGCGCGACGATGCCTTTTGAAAACAACTCCAAATTCATCTAAATTCACAGTATAATGTATGATTCAGGTTACGGTACTATTCTGATGTCAAATATATTAAAATTTGATTAGAGGCATGGTCGACATTTCATGTTATTTTTATATATCAAAACATTTTAAAATACGGTAAAAACAAAATTAATAATTAATTTGCATACTATAATGTAATTAAAAGTCGTAATGTACCATTTATAAATTTAAAACAAAATGGAATACATATATTAACTGTCTGAACACTAGCTGAGTCTTCATAAAAAGTTCTGCAGACGTCTACAGAGAACTAAAAACAAAACAATCTGATAGCGCTTTTATCCACACGCAGAGAGAGAGAGAAGTATACATCAAAACCTTATACCTGGAGAAAATTTCACATGGGTGAAAACAGAAGATCCGGTGAGGGTGCGTGGAGCTTCCGTGCTTGCTTTCTATCGTGATCACATGTTAAAGTAACAACAACAAGAATAGGCGTAACGTGAGTAAATTACGATTAAAATAGCAAATGATAGTAACAAGAATTAGCGCAGTTTCAGTAAATTACGATTAAAATTATAAATTATAAAAAGTAGGATTCCGCATCACGTCAGTAAATTACAAGTAACAAATTATCAACAACAAGAACGGCGTACACGATTAAATTAGGATTAAACTAGCAAATAATAATAACAAGAATTAGCATAACGTGAGTAAATTAAAGTAACAAATCATAAACAATAAGAACTCGTGTAACATGAGTAAATTACGATTAAAGTAGCAAATAATAACAACATTTGGCGTAACGTCAGTAAATTACTGTTAAAGTAACTAATTACCAATAAAAAGAAGCAGCGTTAAAGGAGTGTAAAATTCTGTTACACAAATTCTTGCTGTTTTTATTTATTACTTTATTTAGTTTTTCGGCGAGTTTCCTTTTTGTTATCATCAGCAATTAATTCATGCGTTTCCTTCATTTCTGGTTAATTTTATTTGTAAATAATAGAAGCTTATTTTAACGAATGTGAACAAGCTAGGTTATCTGATTATGGCAAAGCGTACGGCTGGCGTCCTAAGGGAAAATATGCTTTCGTAAAGGACTTTCCAAGGAAAATTGGTTTTTTTCACATTACACGTGGTGAAAGCTATGAAAACCAAACATGTATCTAGACATGTGTGCTTATTAGGTTATTCAGCGATCTTAACCGCTGTGACACTGGTAAAGCAGTGAATGCAAGTAGTTTTATTATTTTCTATTTGATTTTATTATGGCAAAGCACAAGGGATGCTTTCGTGGATGGCATTCAAGGGAAAACTGGCTCGAATATGCCTTGAATGTTGTAAACAGAAAAAGTATAAGGAATTTATGAATACATAATTTTGTAATTTTATTAGAGATATTTATTTCAAATTATATTAAACTTTATTATATTAATCGCAGAAAAAGGTTGACATATGTTTGGTTTGGTTCATTTAATTATGGCAAAAACTGGAGGATTATCTACCAAAGACGAGGGATACCTTCGTGGAGGACTTTCCAAGGTTAATATATGTATGTATTGGAAGCATTTCTATGCTATATCTTTACATGAAGCAATTATTCAAATTAAAGTTAAGCTATATGATTTTATAGACCAATTAGGTATTTTTTTAAAGCCGAGGTGCATAAAATCGGCAATGCCTATTCGACCTCCTGACGACTAACTGGACGTGCTTCAGATTACATCACGAAGGCACACGTTCAGGAGGGAGACAACTCTTTACATTCTCTTCCACTTAAATGGGCAGATGGGGATAAGATGGTGACGAATTACCGTCCGCCGCATTTTAGTTCTGTTCTCACTGTAGAGCGATTATAATTTTTTATTTTTATTTATTTGGCAGTCAAAAACATATGTCCTGCTTGCTAACCGAATGTGCTTTCAATTATACCTGAAAGGAAAGCAGTCAGGAGGGAGAAACGTCTTATAAGTTTTCTAAAATTTTTTTTTAATCAGGGCCAATATCAGAGCAATGCAACTAGAATGGGGGGGAGAGAAATTTCGTAAGTGAAATTTAGAAAAGATAGAAACTGCACCGGCGGGAAGAAGTCTAACGCCAAGCCAAATTTTAATCCTAATTTTCACTTACAAATATTTATCATACACAGCAATATATCAAGACGTTGGAAAACATACAAAATTGAAAGTCAGGAGGCAAATGTCAAATAAGAACGAAACTTATTAAGTTTTTATTTGTATTGCACTTATATTTATTTATTTATTTCGGTATTATCCAAAAATACAGTGGAATAAAATTACTAAAGTGGACTAAAAATTGTGGAGAGAAAGAAGCAAATCTTAAGAGCTAGTAAATTGAAAAATCATTAAAATCGACAATAGGCCGTAAAAATGTTCTGCTCCTTTCGCATCCTAGAAAAACCGTAGTTTAACGTATTGACGGTAAACGAATCTTTATCCGGGGGGGAATTCCATAATTTTTTGGGGATGGAAGGCAGTCTGACTCTAATTTAGCTGTTTAGTATTTAGATTTTAGTTTATGAATATAAAAAATTTGCTATTTATCAATATTTTCTATATATTTGGTTGTTTCATTTACAAAACGCGTTAAAAATAATCTAAATCTAAGTAAATAATAATGTATGAGAACCACTGTTTTAGATGAATGAAGTTTATATATATTTGCATATGAATGGAGACAGTGTGGGTATTAGGAAACGATATGTCGTATTTTCACGCGTATTTTCACCCCTAACGTTTTAGCGTTAGGTTCTGAAAATTTTATAAGTATTCGCTTCATTTCCTTTATCGTACAGAGTTTTCTCTCTGAAACCTAGTTTATTGGAGAAATGTATTCGTTTGATTACTTTTATTTTTAATCAGTGTATTTAATGTGTATTAGCATTTCGCATTTATTATCTGAAACGTACTTTATACAGATTCTTTGTCAAGCTACCCGGACATGGCAAGCGTTCTCATACTTAAGAGATTTTTGAAATATGTTATTTCACCTTACTTATATTATTTACCTTCGAGCTCATTCTAGCCCTGGTGTGTTCAATCTTTCTAATTCGAGTTTTTTGTTCGCCCCCTTCCTTCTTCCGATGTTCCTTTTGAGAAATGCAGTCAAGACGCACTCATGTGAGGTGCCCCTAGGGCTTTACAAGGCAATTCAGCTGCTATCCAGACAACGTATTCGTCTAAATTACCGTCAGGTATAGCCTCAGTATCCGTTAGGTATTGTAATGTTTATGTTACTTTTTGGCAAGTAGGTTTTCTTTTAATGAAATAATATTGTGATAATTACCAGTAGCTTATCCATGGTTACTTTTCATTTGTTATCTTCTTACTGTAATCGCGGTCTTCCGAAAATAAATGACTCGCATAACTTTCCCCTCTCAATTTTCGGACAATAAATTTAATTTAGAAAAGCGGAAAATACGCCAGGAAATAAAGACTGTTATCTAATTTTTAAAAATGAAGATTATTAACCAGCTATTCTCCTATTACATGAGATAAATCAAGTCTTTAATTTCCTGTATTATCTGAAAAGATAATAGGCCATAAAATGCTTACCTGATGTTTCGCATGATGATCAGATTTGGAAAAAGCACACAGAGCTGCTTCAAAGAGAAACAGAAAGTACACTGTAAAAAATACTCCCAGTTGCAATTGAGCGTAAGGCTCTAGAATAGCTCCACTGTGAGAATGACCATGATCGTCACCGCCTCCATGTGAATGAAGTCCAAGAAACTAGGAAAAACAATAAAAATAACATTTTAAAAAACAAAATAATCTTTTTGATATTCAGTCATACGTCCAGACATGGAGAGTTCGGATTTTCTTCAACTGCAATCCCCCCCCCCCATATGTTAACACGGTTTGGGTATTAAGAGTGAGGTACGAGGTTTCAGAAGCGAATAACAAAGCTACATTTGTGAAACAAATGTAGTTATTCGTTTTGATCATTGTCTACTTTGATCACCTATTGTCCAGCTTTTATAATTTTAATGTCTAGACGGAATGTATAATAAAACTATATGTATACACGGTGATCACAGCCAGATTAAAACTTTTACAGCTGATTTACGCCAACAGTATTCAAAATTTTCCCAAAAACTTTGATGTAAATTGTTTTGGTATCTTTGTTGTAATAAAATGAAGGAATTGCATGGAAATGCAATGAAGTCTCCACCACATTCCAAGTTAACACCAAGGAATTGCAGATTTATTATACTAAAAATCAAACAAGACCCAAAAATTAGTAATGTAAAACGTTCAACGGGTCTAGAACAGATTGCAATAAAAGTTAATCTTGAAGATTTTAGTGCAGCGGTTCAGAGCACATGGATACAATTTGCGTTCAGCAAGAAGAAAATACTTCGTCAATAAGAAAACAAAAATACGGCTGGTGTTTGTAAAATCCATATTTAACAAAGTTTTATCATATTGGAACAATATTATATTTGCAGAAAAATCATTATTTAATATATTTGGGTCCGACAGACGAATTAATTGTGGTAAAATACGAATTACTGATGTCACACACGCAGTTAAGAAGCATAATGGTTTCGGGATGTTTCCCTGACTTTGGAATAAAAAATTTACTTTATCAAATATAATACGGATTAGAATAAATATGTAAATATTTTTTATGAAAATCTCAAAGCATCAGCAAGAAAACGTGGAATGCAAAATGCATTCAAGCTCTATCAGCGTAGCGATCCTAAACAAAGAGCCCGAAGTTTTTCGCTTGTGATTATTTTTCAGGATTATTATAATATTATGTGATTATTTTTCAGGATTATTATAATATTATGTGATTATTATAATTCTACTGTATTTGATTTTTCAGGTATAAATATGAATTTGTAACCTTGTACAGAATCTAACGACACATAAAGTTCTCTCTAGTTCCGCCTCCAAGTCACAGGTTTTCTTTACAATGCATTAACTAATTTGAATTCTCTGGGTGGAAGCCAATGAAAGTAGAAGTGACAGTAAAGATAAAGGGATAAGCTACGTGATTAATACACACAAAAACCTATAACATATTGTGCAAACAAACTTCTTTTTATGTTACTTGTTTCCTCCTGTTGTTATTCATAGTTTCCATGAATTTTTAATTTACGTTTGCTCCTCGATATCTCTCTTATGGTGCCTCAATTGTATGATTTATTAACAACTATCTCTTTGAGCAAAAGCATATAAATCGTATTTTAATAATCAGTTGCTATAAATTTGAAATAACCTTCAACTTTTACAGATGAGCAGTACTTAAATCTAAGACAACGTTTTCTTCTCAAAAGCTGTTGCATACGAAAATCTGCAAATCCTTTAACTGAAAAAACTTCTGCGGAATCAAATTTTACATCAGGTAGCGGAGGGGGGAAAATCTTTAAACTTACCAAATTTTTCTATTTTTAAATAACATAAAAGATTTGCCTTGGCTTTGACATCCGTAATTCCGTTTGTAATTCCTTATTATAATTCTGTTTCCTTTAAAATTTTCAGTTTTGATTAATTTTACCTATAACTTAAAGAAAACAAAATTTGATTATGAACATAATTTACAATTTATTTTGTCCTTATATTATTGAAAGATACACAGTATAGAATGCTTTTCATAAAATACTTTTATTTCTCCCTCTTCCAGTCTCTAGAAACCACCAAATTTATATTCGCACTTTCTGTTTTTCTTTAAAAAGTACAAAATATCGTACTAAATTTGGTAGTATGAGCGCAAACACTTTGGCGATTTACAGACGAAAAAGAATGGTGACATATAATTTCAAGGAATAATTTATTACATATATATTTTACGTTTTAGTTAAGAATTTAATGCGAAAATCAATCAATAAATTTATTTAAAAGCTTCTTTACTATTATTATTATGCTCTTTTGGAAATTTCGTGGGTCTAGACTTAAAAATAGATTTCAAGCGGTTTTGTGGCAACGATATTCCTTCAGTTTGATTTGGTTTACTTGATTATGAGAAGGAATTCTAGGGCTATCTGCCTAAGTGGAATGAACGCCCTTGTAGAGGACTTTCTAAGAGAAACTAGCTCGAAGCCACGTTACACATGGGTAAAACCGCACAAACGCCAATACGGCCACCCCATTCGCCTTGAATCGCACACAGATCGAATTATATCTTATAAGACACATGACAAAGTTGTTGAACTTACCTGAGGCATCAAATGTAATAAAGCATCCCCAGCCAAAGTACTAAAGGCTAGACCGTAAAATCCTGAGATGATGTAGTTGTAAGCGTGCTTCGTCATTACAGGTAGTAGAAAGACCCCGGCCAGCGAAGTCAAGCTTATGATTGCCACCGATAAAGAACCGTAACCGTAAACTGCAATGTAAATGTATATTAAAACAGGATTAAAAAATGGTAACAGTCTGGACAAGTATTTTACTAAATTCATAAAAATACTACCGGTTGTTTCAGAAAACAGAAGTTTTAATAACAGAAAAGTTAAAGATTTCAATGAGACAAAAACTTTATACAATTTTATCCTTCAGCGAAGAACTTCAGCATTGAATAGTATGCCAGTAGCCTCAAACTGGCGGCCAGCGAGATGCATACGGTAACCGAAGCAATTTTAGGCGATCCGCGAATACATTTCAATTATATATTTGTTGCAAATACAGCACTGCAAAGATTTCAAGATTTTAGCTATTTGAAGCCCGATGTCAGGGGCGGACCACCCCAGGTCTTTGAAGAACCTTCAGTTTTTAACTATATGTTCTTATAGGTATCAATATGTATATATAAATATGTATTTTATTTAATAATGTATATATGTTTAATACATATAAATGCAATAATGAATTTAAAAATAGCTCCAATAAAGATCAATATAGAATAAATTAAATAAACTTTTAAATTATAGATAATTTAAAAAAATAAATTTAAAAGGTAATGAAAAAACGAAGTAAATTAGGTGCTTTATTGGAGTTTTTGCATAAATTGCATTTCTTATCAGGTTTAGCTTTTAACTTCACGTTGTTGGCTAAGTATGTACATTTTAATAGGAGTTACTTTTAAATTCATTATTTTATATCTATGCAATCAAGGAGCAGGATCTAAAAATTGTCCTCCTTCCCATTTTTGGATCATGTTATTATATATATATATGTATATGTATACATCTACAAGAAAAATTAAGAATATTTTAAAGATAAATTATTTAGATTAACAGTGTAAGTTAATTTCTCTTCTCCATTCTAAAAATAGTTATCTCTTTTTGCACTGCGCCATTTTGAGACTAATCCACGTCATATAAGTCTACATAATTCTGATGATGTAAATGGAACTAAAGCTCAAACAGCCAATCATAATTTTACAGTAGTATTGTAAGGATCCTAAGTTTAACTAACGTTTATTTTGTTTTAAATCTTTACTATCACTTCTTATTTTCTACTTCCGGCCAGAATTAAAAGCTTTAACTTATTTATGCAAATTTGTCTTGCTAACGCCAAGTACTTAAGTTGTGGCTTTTTGCAAAGCAAGTGAGAGAGCTATTAGAGCTATTAGAAGCAGGCCGCTTCCCATAGTAGTTTTACTCGTTTGTTGGTTGCCTTCAAGGCCAGAGGTTTAATCTTCTTGATAATTTTAAACGTATCGTAGTTTTAGCAGCTTTCTGTACTACATACGGATTTTTGTTAAATAACGGCCAATCTTGAAGTTAGGCACTTGTATATTAATCCAAAGTTAGTTTTAGTCAGAGTTTTTAGTTAGTATTTTTATATTCTTACGTTCAGACCACAAGTGGTTGGTCTCTGTATTTCCGAAGTTCCGGAAATCGCTGTAAAGATAGAAAAATAAAGGGTTTCGTATACCCTTCCTGTGTGTATTGTCTACTTTACAATTTATTGAACATAGCTTTAGTAAGCTCCCTGTTCCGAGTCAGGACAGTTCATGTTTCCAAAGCAAGTAAAGAGGAATACAAGACCTGATAGTGGCGCCCGACGAAGAAGAATAACCATGGCCGAGTTTCAAGAAGAACCTGTGGTGCCTGCAGAAGCGGCTCAGAATCCAGAAATGCCAGCTGCCGCTCTGGAAGGATTTGGGTACATCGTCCAGACCATGCGCGCATCGATGAAACCAGAAGCAATATTCAATGAAAACTCACCGGTTAACCAATTTTTTTTGGAAAAATTGGATGACCACTTCATGCTGTACCCAGTCCATGAATTCCAGAAAGTTCACCTTAGCTACCAGCGCTTTGAGGGGCCAAGCGCTTAATTGGTTCAAATGTATAGGAAGAAAGCCTCTTGGGTCAAGCGGGAAGTCCCACCTATACTTACGAAAATTTCAAAGACTGCCTTAGTAAAAGCCTTCCCTGTCGTAAGAAATCGTGCCAAAATTGGAAGCGGAACTCTTCAGCATATACCAGCAACGAATCGAAAATCTCTCTCAAGCTTTATTTTAAGAAAAATTCACGTCTTTAAACTCTTGTATGGAAGCCGGCCGGATCCTGAAATAATCCAAGTGATTTTGCCTAGGTTACTTCCCCAAGTACAAGACTTTATTGAATTAAGGAATCCGACTACGACACTGGAAAAGTTATTTGAGCTAGCAATCCAGTTTGAAAGTAGAAGAACTGACGGACATTGAAAAGAAGACGCCAGTATGAGCAACGAAGCCAATTTGGTGCGCTAAGACCACAGCAAAGGCAAGAACAACGGCTACGGAAGCAAGTCGAATCAGTGGGCAAGGAAACCCGAGTATCCAAAAACAATAACCGGCAAACGTCGATAGTTCAATAAGTAAGCCAGAAAAAAAGTCTGAAGGCCAGCGGAAAAGAAAGAAGAAAGGCATGGAAAGGAAGAAAGAAGATTTAAACTAAAACGGATTTCTGCTGACGGGAGGGTGCGGAAATCCGAAGGCCAAGAAAACCCCTCTTCCATCAAGTTAAATACAGTTATTGTGAAAAATTTGACTCTTCCAAAGATTGAAGTTTTGGTGAACAACATCCCAGCCACCGCACTCCTGGATACAGTGTTCCTGTGTGGGAGAAGATTTTTTTAGGAAGTATTTCCGTAGATACCGCATATATAATTCGGATAAAAAGACAGTGTTAGCGGCGCAGGGAGAAAGATGTAAGTGCATAGGTAAATTACCATTACATGTTCGTATCAAGGACGAGCAAGTAAAGATCATGTTTTTTATCGTAAAAACTTTACAAGCACATGTCATTTTAGGGATAGATTTTCTTTCAGAGGCAGAAGCAACGCTGGATTTTAACGAAGCGTCCCTTAAGCTGACGATGAAACCAGTTCGAGAAGAAAAAAAGAGAACCACCGACGTTAAATCTCAACCAACCACCTGCCTACGATACGGAGAGCAACAAAAAAATTCGCCAAGTGGGTAATTGAATTTGCTTCGTTATTTAGGGATATTCCCGGATTTACTCAAGTTACTAACCATAGTATCGACACCGGAGATTCACTGCCAGTTCGCCACAAACCATATCGGTATGATAAGAATAAAGAAAAAAATTAAGTGGCACATTCGAGATATGTTACGTAAAAAGATCATAACGCCCATCTCAAGTAGTTATGCTAGCCCGGTTGTGTTTAGTAAAGAAAATAATGACTATCCGGTAACACATCCGAAAAGGTGGCGTTTTGCAATTGACTATCGTAAATTAAACTCCATGACTAAATATCCGGTATATCCGTTACCTATTATCGAAGAAATTCTAAGGAACATAACTTCTACCAAATATATGACTACGTTAGACTTAACGACTGGTTATTTTCAAATAGGGGTTAAACCGGAAGATGTGTCTAAGACTGCTTTTATAACCAAGTCTGGCACTTATGCATTCTTCGTATGCCGTTTGGCCTTTCAGGGGCACCGGCAACATTTCAGCGATGTATGGACATTGTGCTAAGGCCTGTTCTAGGAAAGACCACATTTATCTATTTAGACGATATCATTATTACTAGTGATAATCTGGACCAACATGTACAGGATTTTAAGACAGGTGTTTTCATTATTAAATGAGGCCGGTCTAAAAGTTAATGTCGAAAAGTGCAAATTTGCAGCCCCTGAATTAAAATACTTAGGTTACAAAATATCTCAGAAAGGAATCGAGACAGACGAATCAAAAATAATCGCTGTGCAAAAGTATCCGCCACCAAATACGGCGAAGAAGCTCTCTTCTTTTCTAGGACTTTGTTCATATTATAGGTCCTTTATAAAAGATTTTGCAGCTATTGCTGAACCATTGTTAAAATTAAAAAGGAAAAAGGCAAGATTCTTGTGGACGGCCGAAGCCAATAGTTCTTTCAAAAAATTAAAGCAAGCATTAACGCAAGCCCCTGTTGTGAAATTTTCTGAAAACGATGAGAATTTAGAAACTTCAGCGGATGCTTCGGATTATATGCGGTAGGAGCGGTACTTTCGCAAAATCAGCAGCCCGTGGCATTTTTTAGTAGAACTTTAAATCGAAACAACAAAGAAATTTTAAATAAATTATTCCGCGACTGAGAGAGAGGCACTTGCAGTTAGTTCTGTTAGGCAGTGCAAAAGTTCCGAGTCTATTTTGGAAGTGCGCCAGTAACAGTGTATTCTGATCATGCGGGGGTAACTAGAAGTATCATTGCATATACTCAGGAAAAAATTTATCCCCAAGGTTAATAAGATGGGCACTCAAGTTACAGGGAGTATAATTTGGTAATCAAACACACCCCCGGAAAGGAAAATATCGTAGCAGATGCCCTATCCAGAATAAAAATAGATGAAGAAGGTAATACTGCAAAGGTGGCAATGCTCACAGCATGTACGATACATTCCCGAGAAACTGTAATAACCGAACTGGGTAAGGATCCTGAATTTAAAAACATTTATGAGTATTTAAAGGATCCTGAAAATTTTAGCAACCAAGATATTGTGGCGATAAGAAATAGGGCGGCCCATTACGAACTAATAGATGGTCTATTATTTTATACAAAAACTACAAATTCCAACAAGGAATTTCGACCTGTTATCCCAGCTACTCTTAGATTAAATATACTGCAGGAGTTACACGACTCCCCTTTAGCTTCTCATGCTGGTATTCGAAAAACCATCCAAAGCGTACGCGAAGCAGTTTATTTTCCTGAGCTGCAAAAGTTAAGAAGGGGGTTTGTCCAGTCCTGCCCAACATGTCAAGCAGTTAATTATATTAATTTCCGCACGGCCGGGTTTCTAAATAGCATTAAATTTGAATTTCCAAATGAAATAATTGGCATTGATTTATTGGGCCCTTTCCCAAAAAGTCAGTTAAATAAAAGTCGGTATCTCCTTGTTATGGTTGATCATTTTAGTAAGTGGAGCGAAATTGTTCCCTTAAAACGAGC